CCCCAAAACCCCAAAACCCCAAAACCCCAAAACCCCATCCAGAAGTATCATGAGACTTTAAAGAGTAATAAAAAAATATTAAATTAGTGAAAAGTACTTTTATTTTATTGCAGTTGATTGAAATTAATTTAAAATATGTAAAATAATCAACTTTAACTTTCTACTAAAATATCCTCCTCTTCTAATCCGCCATAATTTGTGAAAACTCAAAATATTGGTTGAAACAAAACTTAGACTTTGAAAAATGCAATGAGTTCCTAAGGTTAGACCTAAGAAGAAAGTCCAATGAAATAAGTTCCTGAATATAATTTCATAAGGACTCTGATATAATTCTAAAAACTAAACATCGGTTGCAATAAATACTTTGACAAATTAAAGTCACTTGGCTTTAAAAAACTAAGACTAACTGATACTATTCCTTATTGCATATTACCATCATCATAAAAATTGAGTAGCACACACTCCTGGAAATAATACAATTAGTAGTTTAGTAGTGATGATCCTGATTTATAGACAGATATATAGACATTTTCAGCAGAAAAATAAAAAAATGTTGCTGAAAATTTTACATTCGAACAATTTCAAGCTAGTTAAGTGGCAGATTTGGACTGGATTGAAAGCTTAAACTAAGATGACTTTGGAGTGTGTTTAGATCCTGAGAGAGAAGAATTAATCAATAAAATTGAGGAATTCAAGATTGAACCACTATCTCTTATACGGCATTCTGATCCATATAAGAGAATGAAATTACAAGAAGAATCTTAATAAGAAAAATACCTTAAATTGATAAATTAAGATGTGGTGAATAAGAATGGGAGTAATAAACTCAATCAATAAAACTCGTAAAAGCAATAAACACAGATTGTAAAATCCAATTCCCTTAGTTAGAATACTTTCATTAATGGTAAAAACGAGAGAAAAAGAGAGATTAAAATAAATTAAAAACTATAAAAATTAAAGTAGGTTTAAGAAAACAACTTACCATAGAAATTGAAAAAAACTAAAGTTGCAAGGGAAGATAATAATGATTAAGATAGTCTGGAAGCAGACGACTATTCTGATAATTAGTCGAGCTCTATTTCTGAAGATGATGATGAACTCAAGGTTTTTAACAATAATAGTTCTAGCATCCTTAATGCTTTCCCATTGAAAAGTATCAAGTCAGAATTTCCTGTGATCAATAGAAATCTACCTATGTACCAGAACCGTAATAGAGCATCACTTAACTATAGTTAGCCCTCAAAGCTACTAACTAATAATCAATCCCAGGCTTAGAGCATTTAGAGGCCATTAAATCAATTTTTGCCTACTCAATTCAATAATCTTCCCGAGAAAAAGAGTGGCTTATTATCTAGTGAATTACCATGTAGCATATAAGGGAATAGCAGAGGTATCTTCGATTTGTTTGGTGGTTAGAACTAAAATCTCATTAATAGATTAGTTCCATTTTCAGGCCATCAATCTTCCTCAGCCACTCATTATCGATATCAGAATAATAACCAGCAATTCAGATAACTTCCACAACCTCCTCCTAACAATAGTTTCAATATAATGCAGTACAACAATACTTTTAAATAATCTCCTCAATAAATGGATCATGGATTTTAGAGGAATGTCTAGCAAACAGTTTACGAGGATTCATTACAACAGTAGAGCGATAGTGATTTAGAGATAGTAGATCAATTTTAATTCGAGAAAAGTGTCCCAAGTAAAGCTGTTTAGCAAAAACCTATGATATAACAGTAATTTCAAAGTGGCCTTGGCTTTAATGTTTTTAGCAGTTCACTAAGAGCATAATAGGAAATTAGAAAACACTAACAACAGTTTAAATAGCCTCATTAATGGTAAAAGTAATAGTAGTTTGGAAGATCAAGGATGGTTCCAACTATTTAGTAACCCTTTAGGAAGTAAAATTTAATTCCAGCTAAGATGGCAGCTAGAACGAATTTAAGGTTTGAAGAAACAATAGAAGTTGATGATCATCAGGAAGAAGTATTGCAGATATAGTAGCAGAAGTAACCAAATCAAAGATTACGATTGTGCTGAAATAATCAGCTGCAATTTCTGTTGCAGTCGTAATAGAGTGAAGTATATTGAAGTAGAAATGTATCTTTTCAAGATTTTGTAAACTATTAATTCCAACCCTATTTAATTTAAATGAATTATAATTTATTGAAAATATTATAGCTTAAGATATGGAGTAGCATCAATCATTTGATACTCAATTAGATATTGATCAAGAATCTGTGTCATCAGGACGCTCGTCAATCAATCTTTAGAAAGAACCTCTTGTTGTAAGCTGACTTAATATTTATGTTTGCTATTGATAGATTTAAAGAAATTCAATCAAATTTTCACTGAAAAGCAAGACAGAAAATTCAACTACATCTAAATCACTAGACAATGTAGAAAAGTAAACATAACCTTAATCAAATATAATAATTTATAAATAGGAGGAACGAGAAAAGAGTTAATAAGCTAATGAATGGTCTGGATCTGCTTCAAACAGTTGGATAGAGTATCAACTCAAGATTCTTGAAAGAGCAATAGGATTTAGTAGAGAGACAACAAAGAATAGCAGATCGTCAAAAGGATTAAGATAAAAAAGCTGAGGGTAAACTTAGCATTTTGTCTGCTATCAAACTATCTGTCAAGCAATAGTATACTTAAATTCAACATGACATATTCATTTAGGCTTGATTAGAAGGAATAATAACTAAGACAATTGAAAGAAATGTAGGAATAAGAAGCGATAAATTTGGAGGAATTAAAGCACTCAAGATAAAATTAGGTTAATAATTTGCAAAGATAAAATGAAGCTGCATTATAAGAAAAAGACATTCAATATAAAGAATTGTAAAGATAAATTTAAGTTCTAAAAGATCTTCTGAAGAGCATAAGATAATAGATCAGAAGTATGGTAGATTAGTAGGACGATTTCGAGGATTAGATGCTTGAAAGACACCTAAGTTTGAATTAACTAAACGATAAAATTGCCAGTAAAGATAAACTATGATAGGCTAAGTAAAAAGATTTGGAATAAATTTAACTTGAGAGTGATAGACTAGTAAAAGAGTATCAGATTTTGAGTGAGTAGTAAAAGAATGATCAGGATATTATGCAGAATTTTGAAAGCAAGTTAAGCACACTCAAAAATAAAAAAGAAAATTTAGTTATAGAAAGCAACAAGGCTCCAAAAGATTTGGAAGAAATGGATTTGAAGCTGGAAAAAGTAATAGCAGAGATAAATTAAAACCAAGAGAAGTTTAAAAATGGAAGCCTCAATCTTGCAGAAAATAAGCATGAATACGATTAAGAAGAGTACAAATATAATTAGAATTAGGATTAGTACGAGCTCCTAAATTAAATTATGGAATTTGAAAAACTTGCGAGGAAAATTTAAATTGCAATGAATGAATTGATTCATAAATAAATGAGATGCTTAGCAAAGCTTAAGGATATATAATAAGATTTTAAAAGTATTAGTAATGAAACAGAATCCTATAATGAAGAATTAGAGTCAGATATTAATAAATGTATAGCAAAGATAACGATGCAAATAAATGAAGTTAATGAATTAAAAGATGATAATAGGTTGATATAGAGTAAAATTTCAAATAAAAATAATAGCGAACTAAAATGAGATTAGGTAATGAATAATTATGAAAAGCTTCAGTAAATTTTAGAAAAAATTTCAAATTATTCTATCAAGCAGTCTGAAATAGATCTCGATTAGGATTTGATAGCAAATAAGTAAAATGATTATAGAAGAACAATATTTAAGAATTTACAAAACGAAAATAGCGACCTTTAATCAGGAAATCATTAGTTAATTAAAATTTTCAATGGTAAAATTAAAGAATTAATATCTCAACACTCTGATGCTTCTAATAATCTGATAAAGCACTTATAGCTAAACAACGATGAGGAGCTAAAGTTTTAACAAAATATAATGACGAGATTAAGTATATTTTTGTCAGGTATCAAGCAGTTTTAATAAAAGATATAAGCTGAGTATTTTAAATTAGAGAGGCTGGAATAAAAGTAATCTAAATTTAAATCTGAACCAAGTTAGAATGTATCTGTATTTGTTAGCACAAGTAAATTCTTAGTGGAACAATAGGATAGACTCAAAAGACTAGAATCAAGAGAATTAGAATAGTTAAGTGAGCAGTTAAATAAAATATAGAGTGATATGAAGGAATGTGAAAAGCTATTCAATGATAATAAGTCTAAGAATAAATAAGGAGAATTAAATGATTTGGGAGAAAAGCTAGGACTAATTGAGAATAAAATAAACAACTTAAAATCAAGAGTTGATGAAATTAGATAGGAAATAGAAAAAATAGATTCAGGAAAGAATGGTAATGCAAAGGAAGAGCTTTTATCTTAGCTTAAGTTTCTTAAAAATATGATTAATGATTGTGAGGAGACAAAGGAAAAGCTAAAAGATAAAATCAATAATATAAACTAATTAGATGAAAATTAATTAGGAGATATAGATTTCCAAGGAATTAAAGATGACCTCAATAATTTAATTGATTAATAACTTCCTAAAATTGATGAGAAATTATATGATCTGGAGAAGTAGTTAAAAAAAGAAATTAATAATTAACGAAACTCAAAGTAATAGGAGTATCAAGATGAATAGAGGAAAAATCAACTAAACCTAAAGAAGCTTGACGATAATTTCCTTAAAATATAAGAAATATTTTAGAAATTAGAATAGAGTCTTAATAATTTAAGAAACTAGCATGATTATAAAGATGTAGAAAGAAGCCAAGATTGCGAAGAGAATTTAAAGCCATAAATTGATGATTAAAAAGAGCTATTTAAAGATCTGAAATTGAAGCAATCAGAAATACAGAAGTAACTAAATTAAATCGATCTAAAGTAAAATGAGATATCAATGAAAAAAGGAGCTGATTAAAGCCCTAATAATGATATAATAGTAAAGCAATGGCAAGATTTACATAATTAATCCAAGGATATTGCAAATATGATAGAAAAGCTAAATTTAGAGAGCAATAGCTAAATTTAGGTACTTGATTAGCTTTCAACAAAAATTATTGATGCATAAGATAAGTTCTCATTCAAAGATAAGATTTTTTATAAATGCAAAGATAATCAGGCTTTGAAGTAAAAATAAATTGACTAGCTAAATGAATAATTAATAAAGCTCTAAAAAGATACAGAATATTCTAAAAATCAACTAGATCAAATGATTCTTCCACTTAATAACCCAGATTTGGAATTTTAATACTAAGAAAAATTAGATAAAATTACTTCAAACTCCTTAAAGATTGAAAAGTAAAAATCCTAAGTCACAAATCTCTAATTGAAGCTGAATTCCACATGTAATAGTTTGAATCACTTAGGAGACTAATTAGTAAATTCACGAGATCTATAAAGCATTCTAGATGAACTTGAAAAATTAGACATTGAATTGCAATATGAGACTGAAGAAATTAAAGCTTAGAAAATTGTTATCTCATAAGATTCTATAGATATCTAATAACTACTTGATTTAAACAAAGAAATTAAATAAAATGAGTGCTAGAATGGTCTGAAACAACTTGCTTTGCAGCTTAGTGATATAGATGATAAATGCAAGGAAGTTGAAATGAAACTAGAGGATTATATTTAAAAGATTAAAGAAGGAATCAGAGAAAATATTTAGAACGAAGAAGTGGTGAATGAATTGGTAAGGAATTAGATTTTTAATCGATATAATATAGAAATAATTAAGATAATAAGCTGAAAAAATTGATGAAGAGCTAAGATAGCTTAAAAGAAAAAAGAGCTACTTAGTTAGTTAGTAAAAAATTTTAAAAGATAGAGTTAACGAAATAAATGGTGGAACTGATTCTGATTCCACTATAAGGGATCTTGATGAATTAGCTCAGAAAATAAATTAGTAAGATTTTTCAAGATTCAATCTAAAAATAGACTAAGCTAAGATGGATTACAAATTTAAGAGGACTTAAATAATAAAAGTGATGACTTAGATTCCAGAATTCTAGATCTAGAAAAATATCTCTCGAAGCATACGTAAATCTAGGGTTTACAGAAAGAATATAATGAGATTCTAGGAGATATTAATAAATCTCTGAACAATGTATCAAATCGAATGGATGATGTCTCAGATTTGTAAACATTACTTAAAAAAGTACTTTTGGAAATGGAAAAAGGGACAATAAATGACTACTCACTTAAAGAAAATTTTATCAAAAGCTAGTTAGAAATTCTATAAGAAATAGAGGATTAGATATTCAATATGGATGAGTAAAGGCAATCAATTGCTGAGATACTCGCACAGATGAGGCTTGATCAATAAAATGATAATTCTGTGAGTATCGATCTAGATACACTTTAATAATCTATAACAGATGCTATAGAATTATTAGATAAACTTGAACAGCAAGATTAACAAGCTTAATAATGTTAAAAGCTACTCTCATAAATGCAAAGAGATATTGGTGACGCAGATGCTCAAGATTTAATTTCTTTGAGATCAAAAGAGAATGCAGAATTCACATAGAAATTTAAAAGACTTGAATAAGATTTCCTTGAAATAAAAAAATAAGTCTCTTAGGGTAGTCCAAGCAAGGAAGTAAGTTAAGAGTTGCAGTAAATCGAAAAACTTTTAAAATAACTTAGAGATGAAAGGCCAAATATTCAAAAAGTTCTGAATAACGAATTAGAGCTATATCAAATAGCTCCCTAAAAATTAGAAAACCTTACATTACTAGCTAGTGTAATAGTAAAGATCAGAGAGTTAGGAATAAAATTAAACAAATTTATTGAATAATTAGATGATACCATACTTAATGGAGTTAAATTGAAGAGAAAAATTGGAGGATTAGACATTGCAAAAAGATTAAGGGATTTAAAACATAGAGAAGAAGATCAGAGCATGAGATTAGAACTTGTAAAAAAGAGATTTGAATTCATTGGAAAGGGCGCCTAAGATTGTGACGGCTATACCTCTAACACAGAAGAAGCTACCTTTATCGTACTATTGAATTATTAATTAAATTTAGGATACACTATTGGCTGAGCTACCAGAAATGCTTAAAAAGATTCACGATTCCTAAAATGAATGCATTCAAATTTAATCTAATGTTTATGAAATTAAAAAAGAAGTTGATCAGCAAGATGATTAAAATGAAAAATGGCAAAAGTTCATTCTTGACAATTTAGATAAGTAAGAAGATAACTCATATAAATAACTATTCATAGTGTTGAGGATAATGTGGATCTTAATGAAAAATCTGTTGTTTTCCTAGAAAAACTTGCAGATAAACTTGAGGATCATTTCCTCTCAATGGATGTAAAGAAAAAACTTGATAAAAGAAAACTTGAGTTGGCAGAACTACAAAATATCTGTTAAGACTTTTCAGAGAAGCTTTTAGACATGCAAGAACACTTGATTTAAGATATTGAGAAGATAGATAATAAAGCTAGAATATAAAATCCTTTGCAAGATATCTTAGTCGATGAGCATGGAAACCCAGTCAACTTATTAGAAGAGCTAATAATTGTGTCTGATGAATTAAAGAGTATTCTTGATAATGTTGCATTATTACAAGATCAAAACGAATAGATTAGACAGTAAAGAGATCAGGCATAAATAGATTTTTAAGACGAGATTCTTAATAACTCTGCCTATAGTAAAGCATCAGGTAAGATAGTTAATAAAAATGATGTGTTCATACTTTTGAAATCGAATGGTTGGATGAAAAAAAAGATTATCACAATGATTAAGAAGTTAAAAGAAGTATCAAAGAAGATTAGAGAAAATAAGGTTCGCTACTAGGAGGTAAGAAATAAACTTGAGAGATAAGCTCCTCGTAAACTCTATAAGGCTGTAAAAGGAGATATGGTAGACGAGCTATTTGCTGACTATATTAATAAACTTAATTGTCCAGTTCCTATAAAGAGATTGGGAAATAATTAGTACAAGTTTGGAACCAAAAAGATTTTCGCAAAAATCATAAATGGAAAGCTTGTAATTAGAGTAGGAGGTGGATATATGGGAATTGAGGAGTTTATGATGTATTATGGGTAGCAAGAACTGCAAAAGATTCAGAAAGAGGAAATGCTGAATGCTGAAGAAGTTGAAGATGAGACAAGAAGGCTTAGTATTGGCAAAGGTTTATTAGGAGATGGCTTTATTACATAGACAACCGAAGAAGATGAAGTTGGATAAACAAGAAGAAGTAACGTAAATATCGAGAAACTCAAAGAAAAGCTTAGAGATTAAAGCGCCAAAAAAAAGAACAGAGGAAGAAGTAATACATAAGAAGATGAGGATGAGGTATCCAAATTTGGTGATGGTGGAGCTAATACTATTGTTGGTATAGGTGATGTCAGAAAAGCTTTAAAGAAAAATGTGTTTGAAATAAAAACTTATGAAGAAGGAAAATCGCCTGTAAAGTCATCTAAGAAAGTCATTGGAAGTAATGTCGAGCATGAGCTAAAAAGTATTGAGAGAAGAGTAGGAAATAAGCTTAAATCTAACCTGGAAAGCAAAATGTCCCCAAGCAGACCTAAAACTGATAACTAGCATTAACAGGAAATCTTTTAGAGAGCAAATGATAGACCACAAACATAGGATAGTACAAACAACCCAAAAGGTAAATTTGTGTCTAAAATCCCGCAAATTAGAAAATGAATATTTAAATTTAATAACTATTTAGAGTTAACTTTATAATTTTATAAATTCAATTTTTTATACAATAATGAAGTTAAAATTTGAGCTAAAGAAGTAATAGATAGAGCATCTACATAGTAATATCAAATCATTTCTTTAAACACTATCATAGAAATCTTACAACTGGCATCATAGATTTGGGGAAATACTGGAAGAATATTCTTTTACTTTGACGATACAAAGATGATTATCTACCCAGAAGAAAAAAACCCATTTGATAGAGTTTTCGCTAGAGTCCACATTGATTTGTTGGCAATGGATACTAATGATGTAAATATTCTATGATATCTTATCTATGAAATTAGATTCAAGTGCACTTCTTTCACTAGTACAATATTAAATCTCAGAAAGACAAAAATGCAGTGTTGATATGTCCTTTAAACTTCCCTCTTTTTGTTGAGAACTTGAAAATTCTGGTAGAGCTGGGATATGACGCGCAATTTAAGTTAACCTAGAACCAATCAGATGTTGACATTAAAAAATACTTTGATATCTCAGCAACTACACCCGCAGGCAACACAGTAAGAAGTAATGTTGAGATAAGTTGCATTTTTGACATGCAACTCTTCCCAGAAGAATTCTAAGAAAAAGAAGTCAATTTTGTGATAGATTAGAATGGTTGTCAAAATATTTTGCACAAATTTGCATCAAGATTAAACATCATTATGGATGACTACGCCAATATAAGCTTTAAAGCCTCAAGAGATGAATAATCTGATACACAATTAGATCCAGAGGTAGAAAATGGTCAGCAACTTTATAATATGGAGTTATCTTCAAGTAGAATGACTACTACCATCAGAAATAAAACTTATCAAGCCTAACTTACTGATGTTTCAAACATAAGAGGCGAATACAGTGTATGCCTGAAGAAAGACATGTTCACCAAGTTTTTCTCAGCATTAAAGATTCCAGGCTCAGCACAATTAAGAATCGATCATGAAGAATCTTTTGAGATGAAATATACATTTGAAAAGAACCATAACATTTACCTAATAATTAGAGCTTCAAATTTCAATCCTTGATCAAGCTCGAATTTTTAACAAAAGAGTTCATTGAGTTAATCTAATGAAAATTAAACTTAATTTCATAATGATTCATAATCAAGATTTATTCATAGTGGGGTTTTGGGGTTTTGGGG